GCAAATTGGCTGCCTAAAAAGCCACTGTACTCCAGTGGGTGCCAGTAACATACTATGAGAAGAAAAGGGCCATCCAGGCTATTAGAGGTGTACAGTCTGGCCAGAGATCACTACCACTTACTTGACCAGCATGGGAGTTCGTTATTTTACGCCTCAGGACAGGACATGAAAAACTTAAAGAGCATGTACAGGGGCTTCAACTGAGTAGTTCACTATTGTGCCCTTGTGGGCTGTCTGTGCAGACAGAACAATTCACTATTGTGCGCTTCTGGGCTGTCTGTGCAGACAAAACAATTCACTATTGTGCCCTTCCGGGCTGTGTGTGTGCAAACAGAACAATTCACTGTTGTGCCCTTGTGGGCTGTGTGTGCAGACAGAACAATACACTGATGTGCCCTAGTGGGCCGTGTGTGCAGACAGAACAATTCACTATTGTACGCTTGTGGGCTGTGTGTGCAGACAGAACAATTCACTATTGTGCGCTTGTGGGCTGTGTGTGCAGACAGAACAATTCACTGTTGTGCTCTTGTGGGCTGTGTGTGCAGACAGAACAATTCACTGTTGTGCTCTTGTGGGCTGTGTGTGCAGACAGAACAATTCACTATTGTGCGCTTGTGGGCTGTGTGTGCAGACAGAACAATTCACTGTTGTGCCCTTGTGGGCTGTGTGGGCAGACAGAACAATTCACTATTGTACGCTTGTGGGCTGTGTGTGCAGACAGAACAATTCACTATTGTGCCATTGTGGGCTGTGTGTGCAGACAGAACAATTCACTATTGTGCCCTTGTGGGCTGTGTGGGCAGACAGAACAATTCACTGTTGTGCTCTTGCGGGCTGTGTGTGCAAACAGAACAATTCACTATTGTGCGCTTGTGGGCTGTGTGTGCAGACAGAACAATTCACTATTGTGCTCTTGTGGGCTGTGTGTGCAGACAGAACATGTTCTGCCAGAATATTTCTTGTACAGCCCATTCAGAAGGAAAGACTGGCCCAGTGAGTCAGCACTAAACTCAGAGTTGCATGAAACCAAAAGGGAAACTCCTAAACACAGTCAAGTTTATCACAAGAACTTGTCTGTTGGTGTAAATGAGAAAGCGAACACAAGAAGAAAAAAGTGACTACCATGTAGGTGACCTTTGTAGATGCCTACCTTGATATGTGACTTAACTTTTCATTTTTTTTTATATGACTGCCGTTTTATGTGACTACCGTGTATGTGGGTATCTTTTTATGTGACTAGCAAGTATGTGGTTATTTTGTATGTGTCTGCCTTTATATGTGTGACTAACATTCTATGTTGCTACCTGTATATGACTTGCTATCAAAGAAATTACGAACCACAAATGTACATTTGATGAAACAGCAGAAATGAAGTATGCGGACATGAAGCAGATTCCTTTGTGATAATTTTGTTGTTTCCTGATCTGATGTTTATTTTTATCTGTGTTTATTTTAGGGAGCGTTGACTTTGCTGATACAGTACTACCACAGGTTTCAGAAAATCCTGTCCCAGCCGGCCTTCCGCAACTTGCAGATTAAACATGAGCTCATCAACATCCACCATGTCATGGTGGAAGTCAAGAAATACAAGCCTACGTTCTAAATCATCATTAGAGCTCAGTAATGCTGGGTCACCAGTTGCAATGGTCTATCTGCTCATATCCCTCCACCCCTGTATGTCAGATGTTATAGACTTGATGTTTGCACCTCATTGGGTCACCAGTTGCTACGGACTGTCTGCCCATGTCCCTCCACCCATCGGTCGGATGTAATGGATTTAATGTTTGCATCTCATTGGGTCACCAGTTGCTACGGACTGTCTTCCCATGTCCCTCCACCCATCGGTCAGATGTAATGGATTCAATGTTTGCATGTTTGAAGCCTATCCAGTTGTCAGATAAATGTTGTACCCAGTTTCCCTGTGGTATCATTTACATTCTAAAATATATTTCCAGAACTATACTTAGTCTGTTTTGTTCGTAAGATATAGCAACTCTTCTTCTTCTTCACGTTCAACGGTGGAAAGTTCTGGTTGTTTGTCTACTTCTGGACTTAAGTCTTATTGAGTTTTGTGTGCACATCCATTTACTGATCTGGCTTATTTGTGTGCAGACTGTTGGCTTATCTCCCAGACAGGGGAACTCCGAATGAAACACCCCCTAACTAGTCTACTTTTTATGACAGGGAAAAGATGAGAAGGAAAAACTAGTGAGTCACTCTACAGAAAATTGGAGGGAAAGAGAGAGAGAGAGAAAGACCAAAAGGCTGGCAGACTGTTTCTGCATTATGACATGGATTGGTATAGGTCTACAAATATTGTTTCGGACAAACAAACAAAACCGAACTTAATAAAAGCTTATAATGAATGGCAGGAAATGAGACAGAAGGATGTGGACAAAGCGTTTTGACCAATGCCACTTAGCAAGGACTTTAGTAAGAAGCATTTAACACATTCCACCAGAATATGTCTATGGATGAGGCAGCCAGTAGAGAAAGAAGAACACATTCTATGGTAATCTGTCAGATTCTTATGTAAGTCTGCCCAGTCAGTATGTCTGCGACAATAAGCTTTTTTGTGTATATGTACATATACTCAGCATTAAATGTAAATATTGAATGCTTGCATCTTGTAACTCTGTTCTACATTATATATAAACAGACATTATTTTCACAATATAAACAGACATTATTTTCACAATAAATTGGTAAAGTGGGTGGTTATTTAAACATATTGCATGTTGTGAATTAAAGTGTGATGATTAAAAGTGTTGTGTATAAAAAAGTAAAGGACTTTCCCCCTCTGTTAGTGACGCATCTTACATTTGATGCCTAAGATCATGTTTTAATAGACTAGGCAGCCCTCAAAGGGTATGCGGTCACATCTTGACAGCCACCTTTGCTTTCCAGGAAATTTCCTGGTGTCCATTTAGGGCTGGGTCGACTTGGTGTGGATTTGAACCTAAGACCTTGGGGCCAGCAGGCAAGTATTTAGCCATGATGTAACCGTCAGAGAATGCACAAATTCTCAAGCTGGGCCCAGCTTTTGTGCATACTTTATTTATGTGGCTACATGTCTACCAAGTTGAAGATTAGTGTTCTGTTTTCTACATATAGTGCAATCTGTATGCAGCTACATATATGCCTGGATAAATTTTTTTGGCTGCATGTATACCCACATAATGAGTAGCCGAACAGTTAGAATACCCGGTTCTCAAACGGGACACCTGGGTTCAAATCCTTGATAAGGTTAGCGATTTTTTTTTCTGTCAGAGGCAAACATAAAATCCTAACCCTACACACTGCGGGGCGACTGCAATAACCCTGAGGCCTCAAATACCCCATTCCCCCTTTGGCAGATTTGGTCAATACAGGCAGCAGTTGAAATGGAAAAAAATACCCACAGTCTGTATTTGGCTTTATGCCTAAAAGAATATTTATGTGGCCACATGTGTGCCTGTTACAAAAGATTTATTTTGCTACATTTGCTTGGCATACAAGATTTATGTGGCTTTATGTGTGCCTGGCAAAACAGATTTATGTGGCTACATGTGTGCCTGGTATAAAAGATTTATGTGGCTACATGTATGCCTGGTATAAAAGATGAATGTGGCTACATGTGTGTGCCTGGTATAAAAGATTTATGTGGCTACATGTATGCCTGGTATAAAAGATTTATGTGGCTACGTGTATGCCTGGTATAAAAGATTTATGTGGCTACATGTATGCCTGGTATAAAAGATTTATGTGGCTACATGTATGCCTGGCATAACTGATTTATGTGGCTACACGTATGCTTGGTATACAAGATTTATGTAGCAACATGACTGACAGGTAGTGACTATTATGTAAACCTTATAATGATCTGTGATATTTTATGCTTGCAAATGTCTAATGTAACATTAAATAAAGCGGTGTGTTCAGGTTCAACTCTTGTGTCAATACCTATATTTTCAGAACCATATTTTGGCCAGCATTTTTGTATATTTTCAGATGTGTATAGGGAACAGCTAATATTTAGCGGCAGTAAAATAAATGTTTGTTAACCCTCCGGCACACTACGAACCGTCTAATCCCTGAGAAGCCTCTAAACCAGTGTTTCCCAAATTTTTCTTAGTCATGGCCCCTTTTGTCAATTAAAATTTTTTCACGTCACCCTAACCTAAGTAAAAATATGACTGTTCGCATGTAAGAGATAAATAGAAAAAAGAAAGAAACCCGTGTATTTTCGAATATTTCGCGGCGCCTCTTTGAAAAGGTTGCGGCTCCCCAGTTTTGAGAATCACTGCTCTAAACCATATTGCTGCACTGGCCAGTCCTCAACGTGTCTAGTTAACAGCACTGGTTTCGTTTGCAACTGTGTGGTATTTAGGAGCCCCATCTATGATTTAGTTTACGCAAATATGGGGAGTGGGTTAAATTGTGTTTTTTTTTTTTTTTAAAAGTCTTTGAAAGATTCAATATTATAATTTCCCTTTGTCCATTGCAGTTGGGGATCAGAGGGCCATTATATAAGGCACAAAGAAAAGAAAGTATTTAACTCTATACTGCCTTCAGGGAGGCCTTTTGTGGGGGTAATGGTCAGATCTCTGTACCACTGTCGAAACCAGTGCAACATGGCATGCTGCCAAAGCGCCCATAGCTGGATCAAACCCGGCATTACGAAGTGCATTCGCAACTCTAAGCTACAGATGTCGACAGTCTCACATAAAGAGTTTTATTTACTGCGATCATCCAGTCTCATATGTAAGAATTTATTTTATATGATTTTCGGTGTTTCACATGTAAGATTTTAAGGAGATCTTCTATCTCATATATAAGATTTTATTTAATGAAATTTTATGTGTCTCATATAACAGATTTTATTTAATGAGATCTTCAGTCTCACATTTAAGATTTAATAACACAATTCAAAGTTTCACATACAGGATTTTTATTTCATGAGATAATTCAATCTATGAGATAATTAAATCTCACATATAACATTTAACAAGATCATTCATTTAGACACTCTTCTTTTTTAATCGATCCAAAGCTGAAGGTTCCAGATCCTTTCTGTTTTTGTTTCTGGTATTCAGCTTCCCTTCCACCTGCTTGGTCCTCACAATCTCTCTCACTGCAGCCCTCAAGTGCTGCTCCTGCACTCCCTTTTTCCGCTGGACTATCTTTGATGCACTGCTGGCCCCTTTCATCTTGTTCTTGGGCGTGAAGTCGACTTTGTCTGGCTTCAGGTACTGAAAAACAAAAAGAAGTGTTTTAAAACAGGAGTTTAAAGGCTCAGGGCAGACCAGGGCCTTAGCCGGCAGCTAGCCTAGTATAGAAGCTCCGACAGGTGGACAGGCCAGACAGCACTACTATTCCGACCCTGCAGCATGCTTTGTTCCATGTGTATTGAAGTTACCTTTTCTTCAGACTAAATAAGGCAGACCAGGGCCTTAGCCCTTGGTCGGCAGCTAGTCTAGGATGGAGCTCCGACAGGTGGACAGACAGCACTCCTATTCTGACCCTGCAGCATGCTTTGTTTCTTCGATGTGTGTTAGAGTTTATAGAGTTACATTTTCTTTGGATTAATCAAGGCAGGCAGAGTGAGGGAACATGTTGCATGGGCAACACATGGTCCTGTACTGCCCATGGTTTGTCACATGGAAAGGAGGTGGCCACAATTGGCTGCGATTCTTATTCATTCCTACAGCACAATGGAACACTATTGTTTGGAAAGATGGAAGGGCACCAACAGTTTAAAAGCAAGAGGTACAATGGGGTGCCTAATGGAGCAGTGATGCGCAATACAAGACTCTTAATGTCTGTTAGCATCTCTTGCTCAAACCTACCTCACCTCTTCACATGGTGGACCCTGTTCTTCCCAGCAATTGAGTGGAAGGTTGGGGTCTCAGCCCCCAGTGGGAAACTGGATGGGACAACAAACGAGGTAAGGGTGAAGGGATTGGCCCACTCTCCCTCTCAAGAGATCCTGAAGTCAGAAATACTGGGCCAGAAGGTGGCTTAAAACCACAGTACTACACAACCCAATGCTATATATATGATTACACCGCCGGACAAATTTAATGTTGGTTCTCCCCCAGTGGAGCTCCACCAGGCAGGTGCTGTGCTGGGTTCTGAGCCTTGACAGAATCCACCCACAGCTACTGGAGGACCTCATAGACCATGTTGTGGAGTCTAGAAGGCGGAGAATAGTTACTGACCAAAACCAATTCGACAGAAAAGGTCCCAAATTTCCTTTTATCATTATGCACTGGAATGCAGAGGGGGTCATCAGTAAGCAGGCTGACTATAGCAACAACAAAAAATGGGAGCTGGAAAACATCTTGTATGAAAAGCATGTCAGTGTGTGCTGCATCCAAGAGACCCACCTGCAAGCAGATCAGATCTTTAAAGTAAGAGACTACCAGTGCTGAGAAATCATTACCCCAACGAGCACAGTCTGCTGGAACAGTCAATTACCTTATGAGATTTGGTAAGCTTATAGACAAAGCATCTGTTTGGATCTGTCCGAGCATCTGTTTGGATCTGTCCAAGTCTTACGATGTCAATTTTATAAACCACAAAGTCTAAGAAAACTAAGCACAATTAAAAAACATCTTTATAACTGACCTTCTTCTTGAGACGTTCCTCTGCGGCCTCCTGGGCAGTTTTCACATCTACCTGTCCTATCTGGCCATCCAATGTGATCATCTCAGGCCGGACCTGTTAAAAAAAAATATTTCTTTTACTACATCACAGCAACAACAACAAAATTTTTTTTACTTATGTACAGTGGATGCTAGTGGCGGGCACAGAGCTTTTACTTTTAACATTACAACAAAGTTAGAGAATATACAAGTTTCAGGCTGATATCTTTTACTAGCAACATCAAAACAAACGGTCTAAGTTATAGTGGATCAAGTGTCGGTCACAGAGCTTTAACTGGCAACATCACAACAACAAAACTAAGTTTGGGAACATTCAGGTTTCAGGCCGATAACTTCTACTAGCAAAATCACAACAAAACGGCCTAAGATATATTGGATACAAGCGTCAGGCACATAGCTTTTACTGGCAACATCACAACAAACTACCTAAGATATAGTGGATACAAGTGTTGGGCACAGAGCTTTTACCGGCAACATCACAACAAACTACCTAAGATATAGTGGATACAAGCGTCAGGCACATAGCTTTTACTGGCAACATCACAACAAACTACCTAAGATATAGTGGATACAAGTGTTGGGCACAGAGCTTTTACCGGCAACAATACAGCAACAATAAACTACCAAACATACAGTGGATGCAAGTATCAGGCACATATTATGTTACTAGTAAATAAATGAGTGAATCTAGTTGACATCACTGCACTTGGGGCTTTCCCACAGGTGCTCCATCCCCCTTCTTCAATAATTAACAATGAGCCTGACATGCTAACATAACAGTACCAGTTGCAACTGGATTCTTCTTCTTCGCGTTCACCAGCTGTAGACTCTGGCGGAAGGTTCTGGTTGCTCGTCCACTACTGAACTGCAGTCCTGCTCCAGAAGCTGAGTGTTGCGTTACAGATCTACAGATTCATTCTCTTGAATACAGACTGTTGGTTCCTTGCCTCTCCGGCAGATGCACTCCGACTTCAAAGGAAGCTCCCCAATTAGTCGACTCTTATGACATGCTTTTGGGGAGGCAGTGGGTCTATTCTTGTTTTCCCCACAATGGGGCCCCGGAACCCACACAGGGGACAGCAATTGGATTAAAAATCCGCCTCTGCTTCCCTTTCATGGTTGAATATCTTCCAGAACATCCCCCCCCCCCCCCCCATCTTTTACCTTTTACTTAAAACATCACAAAAACTACCAAAGATACAAGTGTCAGGTCCTTATCTTTTATTAGCCACATAACAAACTACCTAAGATAGATATAAAATACAAGTATCAGGCACACATCTTTTACTGGCAAGATCACAACAAACTACCTAAACAAAATCTGATACTGCTGCCAAGCTGTAAACCACAACCCACCAAGCCAACATCCACATTGAAAGCAACTGCAGAAGAACCAGAGGTATTCAACTAATCATGCAGTCCAGTTTTTGCAAGAATAATAAGCATCCCAAAAAAAAAAAAACTCTCACCTTATCCAACAACATGTGCACTTCAGTCTGTTTTCTCTGAGACCTAGACTGGAAAGGATTTGCTTCCATTGCATCATAGTTAGGTTCCCCGGCACCTAGGTGAAACAAGGAAGAGACATTAGAAATTCTTTTGTGAAAACTCTTTTGACGCTAGCAATACAGGTTGTCATATAAGTTACCACACATTGGAAAGAGCCGTGTTAGCGCAGTCGATACAAGGCTCACTTTCAAATCCAGCTGCGACTCGCTGCAGCCACGGTCGGTGTTCGAAACCAGGCGGCCCTCAGGGTTCACCCAGCTTCAAGGAAATGGGTACCAGAGTTTACATTCTGGGGTAAATGAAGGAACGTCGCTGTAGCTACAGAGTTACCTGCAAACGGCGACACAGGGGGACAGTTTCTCATCAGCTGTCCGTACTGGTGGCGGAGTACTTATGGTTTATAACCATGTGCAATGACGCTGGTTCACATCTACCAACTTTACCTTTACCTTTTAGGAAAGATAAATGTAATCACTAGTGCCATTTCAAGCATAATTACAGCTGCGCTTACACCATTCTTCAGTACTCGAGGACACACACAGAAATTTGTTTTCAAAACAATAGTAGTCATGTCATGCAGCCAGTAGCATGTCCTTTGCAGAACCTTGCTTCCATAACAACCCTCAGGAAAATTTCTTGATCACAAGCAAGGTGTCCTGCGTCTGATACACCCATCTGAAGATCATTCGCCACACATCCTGCTCCCTTCTTCTTCATCCTCTTTTCCCAGGCATATACCCCTTCATTATTATTCTCTCTAAACTTTCATGACATTTAAAGTGACCAAAATATTTCAAGTTTAATCGTCTTTAATAGCCAATCTTCAATATTCAGTAATTGAAGTATGGATGCATTTGTTCTTTGGTAGTCAATTGTTTTCATAATAAAAATGTTTATTTTTCATAAGGATAGGACACCTAGTATCCAGACATGGCTGTCACCCGAAAAATAACAATAAGTGATGAAGAAATTGAAAACATCACTTTGAATATCTAAACTCTATAATAAATAATAGTGGAGACTGGCAGAAATAAAAAAGAGGATTGCCATAGCAATGCAAAGATTTAAAGTTTTAAAAGTCTATGGTTAAGCAGCATCAAGAAACTCAAAATTAAAATGAGAGCATGCATCTTCCCTGTAGCAAAATATGGATGTCAGTCGTGGACCATCTCCCAGTCCTTAAGAAAGAAGATAGGAGCTTTTGAGCTGAAATGCTATAGAAAGATTCTCAGAATACCATGACAAAGAAGAGATCTGAACATCAAGGAGGATTGGCTAATAAACAGCATTCTGTCTTGAAAGCTGGAATATTTTAGTAATTTCAAGCATCATGGTGGATTGGACAAAAATAAGGCAGAAGACATGGTACCAGGAAGGAGGACCAAAACGAAGATGGGCACAGGATATAACTGACTACTTGAATATGAAAGTACACGAGGCTGAAGAACTGGCGAGAGACCGAGTTTCTTTCATGCAGACTGTGATGAGAGCAACGTTCTGCAAAGTACCTGCAACATGGTGATGATGAGTATCCATGCATCCTGAACAGTGTATTGTTTGTGAGCAGTGTTATTATTTCACATTTGGTCTCAACATACTAAAGAAACCTGGCTAGATGTTTTAGCAAGCAACCTGGTATACGCTGCCTCTTTGAAAGTAAGGTGGGACGCAGAGATATTGAACCACAAATGGCATTGCACAAGCAGCAGGGCTGATAATAAAAAGGACCCTTTTCCACGCCTTTAGGCGTTTAGGGCTAGATCTATATTTTTTATAGACCAATCAGCACAAGATGGGGATGTGGTCAGCATCAAGCTGTCCGCCTTTACTTCCTGGGACACAACTGCCTGCCATATCAAAGAACACATTCAAAAGCTACTGACCTGGAACTACAATGCTGGAGAATCCCCACCCGTGTCCGATACCCAGCACATCCTCATAGGGACAGAACATGAGATCTGCCACCAGCCTGTCAGCGCGATGGTAGATGTAAGGCTTGTCAGGTTTGTGGGATCTGGGTAGTGATATCTTTGTACAGCTGAAACATTGTACAGATTCATTTCTACAACCACAGGCTCACTTCTTACACATGTTCAGCACTGCATACAGTATCACCAGCATCATTAAGTGTCTTGCCAAATGGCATGGATGATCTAGTCTCTCCCCACAATCTGTGATCTTCAACATCATGTATCAGTCCGTGTGCTGACACCTCTCTGTACCAAAATAAAATGCTTTCAAGAATCTTCTCATGCTGTTTTCCTCTGTCTCTTTTTTTTCACAGCTCTTTTCAGTGGTCACATGTTCCATAAGATTGCTCATGGATATGTTCTTATAACTAAGTCACAAGTACCTGATCATCACACACCGAAGACAATGTAAAAGGAAACATTAAGGAAAAAAACATCTCCTAAGCATACAGACATGTGATTATTTTATCTTCCATAGCAATCAAGATGTCTGCTATTCAAACTGTGCTTGGTAAAGAAATTTCTACAAGGCTCTTTGGGAACAAGCAACGGAATCAGTAGAGAAACAAGATTATTATGGCATGGAGAGAATGAGGCACCTGAGTGTAACCAGAGGGTCTGGCCGGCTCACTACACTCAGAGTAAAAGCAAGATGGACATATAACCAGATTGGGACCGATACCATCAGTATTCAGTATTGGATGGAGCGCGCATGGGAATGCTCCCGAGTGCTGTGATGTCAATTCTTGACTCAACTCAACTCAAATATCTGCAATCTCTGATATTATTTCAATGGTTTTAGACGAATTCTGGCCCCCTATTTCTTAGCTGTGGGTTCAAGCTGTATGAGATACGGTTAATGAAGTCACCTTTTTATAGGGGTGCCAAAAGATGGTCATGTACCTTAGTACACTTGTTGCTGCAGCGTGGTGCTTTCATCACCTGAAGGTGACGGGTTCAACTCCCAGCTTCAGATTTGGTACACTGTTTAATGTGCCCTTTTATCTTTTGAACTTTTTTCCATGAGTACGGATTATTACATGTCTGTCTGTTCACCACACACATATATATTTATATAAGATGCAGGAAATATGTAATAATCAATGAACACAGAAGACAATTAAAAAAAACTGACAACTAATCAAAGGCGCCTTGATGAAGGAAAACATGTATATAAAAACTACTAAACTGCTTGTAATTCCACTTGTTACCACTTTGGGTGATTGCTCCATCTTCTTCTTCTTCTTGTTCACCAGCTGTAAACTCTGGCGGAAGGTTCTGGTTGTTCACCCACTTCTGGACTGCAGTCCTGTTCCAGAATCGGAGTGTTGCGTGTGCATCTGTTTTACAGATCTGACTCATTTGTATGCAGACTGCTGGTTCCTTGACTCTCAGGCAGATGCACTCCGACTTTAAAGGAAGCTCTCAGTTAGTTGACTCTTACGACATGATTCTGGGTAGGCAGTGGGTCTATTCTTGTTTTCCCTATAACAGAGCCCCGGAACCCACACGGGGAATTGCTCCATCTGTATTCTGTACAGTTACGGAGACTGCTCCTGTATTCTGTATTAGGAGGGACTGCTCCTGTATTCTGTACAGTTACGGAGACTGCTCCTGTATTCTGTATTAGGAGGGACTGCTCCTGTTTTCTGTACACAAAACAAGCCTGGTCTATCTATTTTATATTTACATTTAGAGGGATTGTTCCATCTGTATTCTGTACAAAGTTAAGAGTAATTGCTCTTTATATACAGAATTAACAGTAATTACTCCTCTTTTCTGTACAGAGGGACTGCTCCTTCATTTTTTTGTGCACAGTTGTAGGAATTACTCCTTTTTATTGTCTACTCAATCAAGAGCAATCAATATTTCACTATTCTGTACACAGAGTTATTGCTCCCTCTATATCCTTTACACCTATCTCCTTCAGTATTATGCACACACATAAATGCAGATATCTGCTTCAAGTTGTCACACTCAACAGCTTAGCCTGTCATGAACTCACCTCCACCACATTGTCCCTGCTGACAGCTAAAATTCCCTTCTGACTAAAGTCCAAAAGTCCTGGACAGTGCCTCCTGATGTACTGGAATCGGCTGAGTTCTTTGTACATTCTCAGATCAAATATCTTCAGTCTGCGATCCATACCAGTTGTAGCCATGTAACTGTTGAATAATATAATCACAGTGTGTGTTTTATACAACGATCATAGATTTTACAAAATGATTTGTAAGAAAAAAAAAATCCTGTACAGGGCCTCATTTGAAAATGTCGGTTCGGGGGTGACATAAAATAGGAAAACAAATTATAAAATGAAAAAAATCATTCCTGCTGTTATAGTTTTTGCGCTTGTCTTTTCACTCATTATTCGGCATTTGTTACATCAGGTAATATTATGCCCATGAATGTCTCAAAAAACGATTTTCATACTGTGCTGCATTCAAGCTGACAGTGATCTCCAGTTTGCAAATGCGAAAGGAAATTGTGCTGATGAAGGTAAAGTTGGTCATCTAATGAATTTTTTTTTTAAATCCTCCAATGGAGAAAACTTGTTTCCAGAATTTGAATATTGCTTGCATTTTACAGATGCGACCGACTTGTATGCAGACTGCTGGTTTCTCGCCGCTCAGGCAGATGTGTTCCCACTTCAGAGAAAAAAATCCCTAATTAATTATTCACTTTGTATAACATACTTGTTAGGGAGGCAATGGGTCTATTCTTTTCTCCCTAAAATGGGACCCCGATACCCACAGGAGATTACTGCAACCTATATTTCATTAACTTGCTTTCTTGCAGCAGCTACTGCCATATTCACTTTGTTAATTTGTGAAGGATGGCGGGCCAAGAACAAGGGAACCTGACAACAAGGCGACCCAGGGTTCGCTGGAAGACAACATCTGACAGTCCCTGACTAACAAAGGACTGGAATGGGGGGCCCCCGGGGGGGGGGGGGGGGGGGGACTACTAATAGAGAAGTTTGGTAATCTCTCTGGCAAATCTCTACACCCCAAGATAAAAGAGAAGCGACTAAGGTAAGTAAACAAAATAGTTAAGGTGCTTGAATCATCCACTGCTTTCATTTACTTCCATGCAAAATCTACTTCACTAACTTACTTCCCTGCATGATCTACTGGCATATTTACTTTATTAACTTAGGGTCCCTGCATCATCTAATTTATCTTTCAATTCCATGCAAAAGTGGTATGGAGAAGACGACCATCCAGAAAGCAGTGGCAAACTCATCATCACGTAGCAGGTCCTTTGCAGAACGTCGCTCTCATCAGTCTGCCTGAAAGAAACTCTGTCTCTTGCCAGTTCTCCCGCCTCATGAACTTTCACACTCAAGGAGTCACTTATATCATGTGCCCATCTTCGTGTTAGTCGGCCCCTGCCCCTCCTTCCTGGTACCATGCCTTCTGCTATAATTTTTTCCAATCCGTCGTGGCGTTTGATATGACAAAAATATTTCAGCTTTCGAGTGTTTATTAGCCAATCTTCCTTGATGTTCAGATCTTTTAAGATGTCAATATTTGTCATCTTCTTTGTTCAAGATATTCTGAGAATCTTTCTATAACATTTCGGCTCAAAAGCCCCAATTCTCTTTTTTTTTATGGACTGAGAGATAGAAAAACCACAAAGCCACCAACAATACTGGGGTTGGTTATGCAACAAACTTATACACGCAAAATCTACTTCACTAACTTATTTCCCTGCATGATCTACTGCTGTTACTCACTCCCCACAAACACCAACCATCAAATCAACACCACTGACTTACATTCCGGAAGCATCCACAGCTACATCTCTCAAAGCACTGGCATGACACAAGACTTTTGCTGCTGGCTCTTTCATGTTGGGTGTCCACAGCGAAACCACACCTGTAACAAACAGAAACCACACCTGTAACAAACAGAAACCACACCTGTAACAAACAGAAACCACACCTGTAACAAACAGAAACCACACCTGTAACAAACAGAAACCACACCTGTAACAAACAGAAACCACACCTGTAACAAACAGAAACCACACCTGTAGCAAACACATTATGCTCATTTTTTTTTAAAAGGCATTACTAAATTACCTTTTCGGGAGTCATAGGTAAGGGGAAAGGTAGGATGTTAGACGAGACCACAAACACCTGAGCACATTCTGCAGGCCTGTCCACAATACTTACACCAATGAAGAGAAACTTAGCCTTAACAGCTTAGTGTGCAAAGCAGCCTATGGGGAAGGATGAAGGACCTGCAAACTTGCAACTGACATGCAAATTCACAGAGGCAGCCCATTTGTCAGTCTGACCTGAGCATATGAAACTAAATGCCAAGAAGAAGATAGACCAAATGTTACTCAGTGGACAAAAGAGTCAATACCATACCAATGCCTTTACTTCCCAGAATATTTCCTGGTGTCCATTTTCAACATCACCAGGAGCAGATCCTTGACAGAAACGTCGCTCCCATCACAGCCTGCCTTGAACAAATATTTCCCTCCTTTCCATTACTGCCTTTTCTGGTGATAAGGAATTTCATTTTTGGAGATAAGATACTGTTTACGAGCCCATTTTCCTCAATGTTCAGATCTGTTAGGATGTCAATACTTCTTGTTTCTTTGGTCCACGATAGTGAGAATCATTGTAGCATTTCAGTTTTAAAGCCCTTATTTTCTTCCTTTAATGATAGCGAGATAGTCTCCCGACTCATGTCAATATGGTGCTACAGAAAAGATTCAAACACTAAAAACTGGACCCATTACAGGATAGGTGAATATTAACCAGTAAACAAACAGGTCAAACGTGACAATTATAACAGTAGTAATGTGGTAAACAAATACACAACAAACAAAAATAATGTCCAATGTACCAGTGGGATGTCCGAGGTGGACAATGGCTGACTGAGGATTCACGGCCATTACGTCCAGCCGACCTTGCTTAGTACATATCCCTGCAACTTCTTTGCCGATAGATACATCCAGATAGGACAGGTAGCCCTTGGCACTCTGAATGATAAAGTTAGCGATTATTCAACTGCAAAACGTATACACCGTTCCCTGGTACAAGCAATAAAAAGCATACACAAATATTAGTTTTTAGATGAATCTTGGTTTACCGGAGGTTCAGCCATCCCTGGAAGATTTGGTGTCAAAGATTCATTAACATACCGAAAAGATCAATGCAGAGTACTCATTCCCTAAGGTGAATATTTACCTGGTCGGTGAATTTGTTTATGTATTCTTATCTGACTGAGAGCCCTGTCATTTTACACAACCAAAGCAGATCTAAAGGTTACCCACGTAAGCGGTAAGCGATGGATAGACTGAATTTCCAAGGCCATGAACACCAGTACATGAAGCACATACCAAGGCTTGACCCAGATACCTCTTCAAAACCTGCTCTATTGCACCATCCACTTCATTACAGAAAGACTTCTTGAAAAGTATATGTCAACATCCTAAACTCACAAATAAAACTAAGTCTATAGTATATAGCACTCTCTCTTGTACTGTAGTGAGACCTCAACCACAGTTTATCTTTGGCTTTTTAGGAAGGCCAGACTAGGTAAAAAAAGACATCAATAAAATATCTAGAAAAAATGTCCAAAAGTATCTAAATATTTAAATAATGAATAAATGAAGAAAACAGAGACTGGTACAACTATCAGCAAAGTGATTTTTGTGTATTTTTGTTCATAATAACATCTTGTCCATTTGTGTTATAATACTCATGAAGGTTTCCTAGCTGCAACATTCTTTTATCGCTTGTGATAATGTTGAATGCTGAGTTAAGATTTGACATCATAACACTCGAGACACTCCCATAAGCGCTCCGTCCCCATCTTCAGCAACAAACGAAGAGTTCCAGTTCCGATGGTACAAGTAACTATATCATTGTATAACCATCTCGCCTTTCCCTTGAGTGTTGAGCAATGGCCAGATCCCCTGGAAATTCCTCACAGTGCCATTCTCCTCAGACCATAAAGATCTTTTTGCACTTCTGCACTGTTCACTCGCTCCCAGAGGGCCCTCACAACATCCAGCTTGTCATACATCAGTTCACCACCAAGTGGTGCATAATCGGCCAGTCTATCTGCCTGCTCAACACACCGACATGACCTGGAGAGAATATCCAAAGGATACTAACTTTACTACCTGGGACCTCTGAAGTGATGCTTGCCACTCTGCAAGGAGCATACCTGTCTCCACCTTTCTCAACATGCTCTGTGAGTCAGTTACAGTGATGGCATGTGTGTACAGCTGATTCTCAAGCCAGCGGAATGCCTCCAAAACCATTCTCAAAATAATAATGTGATAATGTGAAGTTGACTAGCTTTGCATCTCATCTGGTTTGATATATTTTCATGGTAACTTATTCGGTAGCCAGGTTTCGACAACTTACATCTAACTGTTATCTTTGGCTTCTTTCTGAAGGTTAGGGTTTCTAATTAGACAAATTCCATTACAATATCTGGCAAAAAGACAGCGCAAATACTAGCCAAATTATATTTTTGTTAATCCTGGGTGAATAAAGAAAAAAATAAGCTTACTGAAGAACACAGAAGGAAATGATATGGCAGGAACTCTAGTCTTAAGGCCATATCCAGGTGTTTCAGACAATGGATCTCTATTCCTTGATTGTCATAGATGTACACCCATTTTTTCTGAGCCACTGCAAACATCGTTTCCTGATGCAGCCACCTGAAATGAGAAACAAATAAATATACAATTACCAATGGCTGTGAGGGCTGGGAAAAAGGGATAGAGGCAGACCAAGAGAGATTATTGATGCTGGATGGGCTGAAATGACGGCATGGAGAGATATCATCAAGAGAGCTGTTGCAGGCAACCAGGGATCGTGATCTGTGGAGACGCATGAGCGCCTACGCCAGTTGGCAGGGCACATGATAATGATGTGAGGGCTTAGTGGTCAGTTCTTTAAACCTCAGCGAAGGCAAGATTTCCCCTAGACCAAGCAAGGCTGAGGTCAATCCACATTATCATTGACAACTGCACAGATGATGACTTTAATAAAGGCAACACACAAATACATAAAATGCAGAATTTTTTAGGGAAACTAAACATTTATGTCCGAATAAGAACAAGATTGTAACACAAATGCCTTGTGCTCTCTTTATGAACAAATAAAGACCCGTGTAGATGTGGTGTCTGAGATGCACGATGTGGACAGACTGGCTGACTAACAAGTGCCTGGAAACAGCTAATGAAATTGAAAAACTAAGTACAACTACAAGAAAGAGGTAGTCAGTCCAGTGTTCGTCAGTCAAGCGATGGAGAATAATGTGATGACTTGAAAGATCAATGGCAGAAGAGGCAGACCAAGAGGGATGATGCTTGACGGTCTGAAGCGATGGCATGGTGGATTATTATCAGTGAAACTGATTCAAAATGCCAAGGACTCAGATCTGTGGAGAGATATGACCGTCTACACCACTGGGCAAGGCAAATGATGATTCTTACTGACTGTACACTGGATTATGAAGACAATAACAGCTACTATCAGAAATGGAATTTAATGGATTTAACAGAAAAACTTGATGATCTGGATACATTAAACATGTTTGACGGGGGGTTAGAGATGGTCAACAAAAATTAGGCTAAAGTGGTATAGTGTAGGTGTATTAAGCAAATGATAACCCAATCTCTTCGGGTAGAATCTTATTTCAGGCTGTGGAATCATATGCACTACTGTAAAAAAAAAATTAAAAAAAAAAAAAAAGATGAGGGAGCCGATATAAAAATAATGGCAAGACAGGCTTACAGTGCACTAGAAAACCAGAAGTCAAAACTAGCATCACACTAACAAGAGTAACTCACATGCAAGATCAATGTTGATAAAAAATTCAGAAACATGCGGAACGACTAAAACAATGACTGATAAACTACTAATATGTATCATTAGCTGGCGTCTGCTAAGAAAGGGGCCATTCGACTAGGTGGGATATAGAACATATTATGTTAGACTCAAATTGTTATGGACCAATCACCATTCAATGGGTGCTGGTGTAAAATACGCTGGCCCTTTCCCTTTCTGGACATTTCCTGGTACTCCACACATGTGGATTCTGGGGCAATAACAACAACAGAAAAGAATAGACTCACTGCCACCCCGACAAGCATGTTGTACAAGGTGACTAATTAGAGGCTTTTCCTTTGAAGTTGGAATGCATCTGCCTGAGAGATGAGGAACCAACAGTCTGTATATATAGCTAAAGGTCCCAACGCTACCAGAGCTCAAGAAACTGATGGCCTTACAGGACGAAAAAACAGCTGCATTTAACAAACTCACCGTGGCGCGGTGATTTATGTCACAGGCGTGAGGGGAAGTTAAGTCCAACATGATGTGTATAAGGAGATACTCCGTATGTCACTCGGGCGCCAGTCCTTTACTATCCTGGTTGTACGGAACCTCACGCAAGACCCCTACAGCACGTCCTCGTCGTGCGCCACGGATAATGTCTCAAATGAGCATTAACAGAGCTGTCAGGGGATCTCGGAGTTTGGCGGCCCCCAGAGGTGATGTGTCCTTGTGGCTCTCACCAGCCCGCCCCCCAAACGCTTGGGTGAAAAATGTTATCAAAACTCATTAGGAACATGAGTAGGTTTGACAAAAGTACAGCTAAAATCACAACCCTTGGTTAAAAGACTGCTGAGTAAAGAGAACATTGCTCAATGCTCATCCTCGGTTAATTCTCAGTGTCGTCGTCACCGCGCTGAGATGCAACACAACAGAAACCATACATGGGCTGGCCATCCTTGTGCATCCTCGGTTGGCCCTCAGTGTCGTCGTCACCGAGCTGAGGTGCACCACAACAGCAACCATCCATAGGCTGGCCAGTCACGTACATCCTCGGTTAACCCTCAGTGTCGTCGTCACCGCGCTGGGGTACACCACAACAGCAACCATCCATCGGATGGCTAAGCCTAAATGTCCGACAAAACTAGATCATACGGATCAAAATCTGACCACCAAAATTTGCACTGAAATGCAAAAGGCCGAATGTCCATACCCAAAGACCCCACTCGCCCGAGTGTTGGGACAAAACTGATAACGATATGCCTGATTCAGGATGTGAAATTCTGCCGGGCTAATGTACCTATCTGTGTGGTCACAAAAGTCCAAAACCAACGGGCTGCTCCCCGCTGACTTCCAGAGGGCGCAGCCCCTGTCGAGCGGGAGGCCTGATACGGTTGTGAGGTTAAGCAGGCATGTGCAGGACGTGACGATTCCTTGGGTGAGCCCAGATCCAGAGCGCCATGTGCCGGCTCTGCATGCATGGAAGCCTCCTTGGATGGCGGGGAATGCCCATGATCTGCCCCTGCCTTCCCTTGAGGGCCAACTGTTCCACAGGGGGTTGCCCCAAAGGGGTACTCCGGGGGCAATACCTGCGGCGAAGGAGACAAGGCGGACACCACACAAATCAGGCAGTCTCGACCCACACAAAACAATGGCCACAGTCACCCTAGAAATAGGCCTGACGTCTTCCTTCGAAGTCGGCGTACAGCTGCCCAAGAGGCAGGGAAATTAAAAACGGTTGTACACGCAAAAATCAGGTCCAGGTGAAGGCCAAAAGTCCAAGCGGACGATTAACCGGGACCTTCCACTGGAATTCTCAGCCGGTGTTCGATGAAAAAAAAAAAAAAAAAAAAAAAAAAAAATCACCATCACCCAAGACGAAATTACAGAGGAAGGCAAAATCATTCAGGAGCTCAACCAAGTTCAGGAAAAACTCTCCAACGAAGCAGAAAAGATCGACAAAATTGTGGCTTCAGCCTACCAAGAACCTGAATACAAAGACGAATCTGACCAGGTAGCACACCCGACGGAGTCCGACGAGGAGAGCGTAAAAGAACAGCCCGCCGAATCAGTACAAACCACGGACCAGAGCAGCCATATAGAAACGACCCCAGCCACAGATAAAACCGCAACCTACGAAGCGGTAGCATGCAAGGAGATAGAGGACAGAGAAGCCAGCCTACAAGCCCTGATCACAAAGTATAACCAGCATATGTACCCTCATCAACTCGAGATGTGCAGTGACAAATACAGAATACAGTTCTGCCAGAAAGAACTTGCAAGGTAGCAATCCCTCCCAGCCGCAACACTCAGATCCAAACGAGACAAAAACAAAAGGATGATGTATGACGCAAGCGTAGCCCTTAGTATACTTAACGCTGCTCGAAGGGAATTAAGCCAACACCGACAAAGTAATTCCACGCACTGACCCATCCTATGAACGGATAACAGCTCGACTGCAAAACCGTGAAGCCAATAGCCAACCAGAACTGACCACAGCCGCCATGACACCGACCAAACCCAGCTCACCGGACCGGAAAACTCATCCGCGCAAGACCAACCAGGCATTACCAGAACCCGACAACAGAGGCCGAACCCCGCCCATCCCGTTCCAGGCCACCCAGGCACATATGGCTGTCCTTCTGAGGACTGCCATGTCCACTCCCTAAACTGCAAGCCGCCCGCCAAGCCCACGCTGCTAACAAGTTGCAACCAAGAAAAGAAAACTCAGGCGAAAACCATCGCCACAAAAGTAAAAAAAAACCAGCTCAGATAGCAAATGACTCGTCCTTGAAAAAACAGGCCACCAGGCAGTTAAAAAAGGACTAAGTTTGGAATTTTTATTTTTTTTTCAAACGAACGAACAAACGCTACCATGGTCTATGATCTGAACAACCAGTATATTCTATTTTAAATGCTTTACTACGTATTAAAAAAAACCACCAAGATTATGCCGTCTTCACAAACAGTGGGTGGTTCCGTATCCACAGTTAACTATGAGAATATTACATGATGAGGCCACTATCTCTTCCATGGTGCAACTCTCATAACACTGTCTGAAAGCTAGGAGAATGGACTTTTTTTTAACAACCATTTACTATACACTATCACCCTCAAAAGGTACCCAGGTGAATCATTCACTTACTTCACATCAGAAACAGTTTCCATCACATTAATTTCACAGTGCAGTCTCTTTGTCTGCCAGTCGAATGCTGCAACATGCCCTTTGGCCCCACCTATGAGAAGGTGCCTGGTGAGGGGAAATGAAAGTATAAGATATGTAAGCTAAAAAAACATACTAGATAATGAAGAGTTCAATATGCTGTTATGACAGTAACAAATTCAATGAACAAATGTGACTAAGAAACAAAGTATAACACAATATATGTAAATTAAAAATACTAGATTTGATTACTGAGTTCAGCCTACTATTATGGTATTAACAAATTCAACAAATAACTGCTATGAGTAAGAGAGAAATGAAAGTTTAACATGTGAAATGTAACTTTAAAATACTAGATTTTAAATAAGTTCAGCCTACTTTTATGACAGTAAAAAATTTCAATGAATAACAGCAGTGACTAATGGAAACAAATTAAGCATAACATGTGATATGTAACCTAAAAATAACAGATTTTAAATAATCAGTTCAGCTAGGGTTATGATAGTAGCAAATTTAACAAATTAAAGTTGTTACTAGGATGTTTAAAGAAGAGGGGAAAAATACAACGTGTATAAAAAACAAATATTTTGACCGAAGTCTTTCTCAACGAGTACCAAAACAAAAAGAAAAAGAATCAGGGATACCAACCCCAATGTGTTAATTTATTTTTTTCTTGATCATCCTTACGCTTCTTGAATAGATGGGTCCTACTGTAATATATTTCACTTGCATAATTATAATGAGTGTAGCAACCAACGGCCTATGTGTACATATGCAATTGCAGAACGCAATTTTATCGGACTAGTGTCTATGAAAATATGTACCTGTGTTGAAAAGCATAGTTAAATGTTATTGGTTCTGTCTGCACCTGCGCAGGTTTAAGAGTCAAGGATATGAATATATTAACTAAAAATAGCATTTAGGGGATTTTTCTGCAAACCAAATGGCCTTTATGATCTACCATTTCATTGTAGAGGCACAGAAGAGAAAAGAGGTAACATCTGAAATGAATTAAAACTCTGCCCGTATTACTGATATGTTAACACATAATTAATAAATCAAAGATAAATGATAACCAACCTCCCATTGCGAGTGTAATCTAGTCTGTAGGGCCCAAACTTGTCTAGGCGAAGGTCAAATATTTTCTGCTGCGTGGCCTCATCAGAACTCTCCTTAATATCATTCTGGGTAATCTCATATGTCTTGTCTCCTTCTAGACCACTGTAAGAAAGAAACATACAAACTAAGACAAGATAAACACACTTCAAGTATTTTCATCATCATGTAGCAGGTTCTTTGCAGAATGTCGCTCTCATCACGGTCTGCCAGCTCTCCCGCCTCATGCACTTTCATACTCAAGGAGTCACTTATATCCTATGCCCATCTTCGTGCTGGTTGGCCCCTGCCCCTCCTTCCTGGTACCACGACTTCTGCTATTATTTTTTCTAATCCGTCGTGGCGCTTGATATGACCCAAATATTTCAGTTTCTGAGACAGGATGCTGTTTATTAGCCAATCTTTCTTGATGTTCAGATATTTCAAGATGTCAGTATTTCTCCTCTACTTCAAATATTTTACCAACAACAATAAATCCTAACCAACACAGTCTGTGGCAACAGCACTAACCACGCGGCCCTAAATCCTCAGGTTCAAAGAACCTCTGCCTACACAGCAAAAGTGGTAAATACAAGCAGTAACTGGCAGTTTACCACTGCAGATCACAGATGAAGGCTGGCCGCAATAGACATCTACAATTTATATCTCTTGCACTAGTTGTAATCTGAAACACTGCTTTTTATGCACATCTTTTCTTGTATTGCTATCTCTTGCTCATCTGTTTTCAACTTTCCTCTCCAGTATAGTTTTATTGAGTTTCATATCTATAAATGTCATTGCAAAACATTTCATTTGTCACTTTTTCTTTCACTAGCTGTCATTCTTACTCTCTCTATCTGAAACATTTCTCTGGTATTTTTTGTTTCCATGAAGTGGACCTATAATTCTGTATATCCTTATTTCCAAGACCCTAAATCAACCCGTTAACTCTTCATTGTCTATGTTTCTGTGGCATATATATACATCGCACAAGGCTTGCAGTCTATTCCTCCATTCCGTTCTATACTTTGCGATCAATACCAGCCTCTTTTATCAACGTTCATTTTATCCATGGGGGAAGGGGGGGGGGGGGGGGGGGGAGGGGGGGGGGGGGGGGGGGGGGGGGGGGGGGGGGGGGGGGGGGGGGGGGGGGGGGGGGGGGGAAAGAGAATGGGAGAGGTACCCCCATTTCGTAAATTTATTTATTTCCTATTTCAGTGCCTGTTTGGTGATTCTCTGCTTGTTTCTTCTCAGGATGTGCCCAATGTAGCACCATCTTCTTTTCTATGCTTTCTTCAAAACCTTCAATTCATCCCATTTAATGTTAATTATCTTCCTTAGGTATTTGTTTTCAAGTGCACACAATAAAGCAGGTAAAACACTACAAATAATTGCCTGACTGGGTTAGACCCACTGCCACCCTTAAAAAAGCAGGTAATATTTAATTAGGGATGTTTTCGCTAAAGTCGGAATGCACCTGCCTGAGAGTTGAGGAACCAGCAGTCTGTATACAAAAAAAGTCAGATCTATAGAACGGATGTGTGTGGGGAGGGGGGGGGGGGGAGAGTGGGGACAGTTCCGGCACGAGACCAAAGGCCAGAAGTAAATGACCAGGTCTGTCCATCTGAGTTTACAGCCAGTGAGAGCAAAGAAGAAGAAAAAAACTACACATGTTTAGCCAAAAAGTTTTAAAAAGAATGTACTCAGGTACTCACCCTGTCTCCTCCACACACAACAATTCACTTCTGGCTGATTTCTCTGCAACTTTTTCAAAGATTTCTTCCCTGGCTCTGATCTTGTTGGTGTGAAAGTATGTTTTGGCAAAACCCTACAACATTCAAACATTAAAGCATCACAGCTGGAGTCTCACACAAACACAAGAGGTACAGCAAGGCAAACTTTACATTACCATATAAAAAAGCAGAACAGTTCTGAGCAGTCATGTAATGCTGGTCAGCTCTCAAGAGATGGTAGAGGCAAAAAAATTAGCATTACCTGCCATCCAAGGAGTGTTCCTTAAATGAAGAGCCAACACATGGTGATCTAGTACTGTGCTTTCCCAAAGAATTGTCATGCCCTGCTCATGAATACTTCCATATATTGAGCCGCCAACTCATCACGAGCTGCACTTTTAAAAACCAGCACAAGAGGCAGCCTGCAAACCTGGGATTTTTATCACCTACACAAAATGAATTCTTCACTTCTTATACATGTCAGACTTGTATTCCAGTGGATTTCAATGTCCATTATAGCTTCATATGACACTGAGGATTTAACTTGGACCCTTGTCTCATTAGATAAGTGCACTAATCACTAAATGGATGACCTTAGTAAAAACAAACTGTTCAAGAATCTTAACCTGTATTTAGTCAACAAATGATTTTCCTGTGAGAGTTCCGGGATCCAATTGTGGGGAAAACAAGTATAGATCCACTGCCTCCCTAATCCAACAAACATGTCGTAATCATTGACTAACTTCAAAGTCAGAGTGCACTGCATCAGCCTGATAGGCAAGGGACCAACAGTCTGCATACAAATAACTAAGATCTATAAAACGGATGCACACACAAAACTCAGGTACTGGAACAAAGCCAAAGTCCAGGAATGACGAACACCTAGGTCTTTCCGACATTTTTTACAGCCAGTGAATGCAAACTGCACAGCTTCAGTCAGCTCGGTCTCCCTCTGCCTCTACTCCATCTTTCAAAACAAATGCAAACAATTGTAATATACAAGTAACAGTAGGTTCAACACCTTCTGTAAGTATTCAAAAGAAATAAAAAACGACATGAAAATAAAAACTGCACAATTAACAACATCAATAGGCATGAATAAAAGCAGTAAACCACATAACAAACAAAAGATTCTCACCTTAGCTTTGTCACCTTTCCTCCATTTCTTCATTCTTTCCTCCGGAACAGGTTTCTCTGTGACATTTTCCTGTGGATAGTTACAAATGTCAGGTTAATCATCACGGCAGTCTGAAAAAACACAAACATTAGGACTGAGGGTTGAGTTTGCAGAAAATGATGCACTTGTCGACCTCTGTGACGCTGGATATGAGATACTGAAGATTCATTGGCCATAAATGCACATAGGGTTGAAGAACTGGCTAGAGAAAGAGACTTTAAGGTGTGCAGTGATCAGAGCAATGTTCTGTTACAGAATCTGCAGATTGCTGATAATGAGCTACAAATATTATTGCTAACATGAAATCATAATGAAGTTTTAAAGAAAACAATGTCGACAGACAAGAATAAATGAGATGGTTCTTAATGAAACACAAAAACTAATTAGACAAATTAGATGGAGATGACTTTCTTAGTCATGTAAAACTGATGAAATCCATATATAAACTGGTTAAAGAAATTAGATACAGGCTGTACAGAATTATAATCAGCCACACGCTTCAAAGCTTTGTAACACCTGGCAAAACAGCAAGTGCAAGACAAAGATAAATGAATAGATGGCTTGGCCATATGGCCTTATCTAGACAAGAACACAGACCTGATTATGTGAGAAAGCAAACTGTGAGTGGCTAATCTTAGTGTGATAAAGTTGATGAAAAAAAGTGGAGACTGCAGTCGAGCTTGTGTAAATGAATTCACTCAACACAAACTACGACCATGAAGCTCAACGGTGGTGGTGGGTATAATATAAGAAAAATGTGAATTCGACCAAAATTTATATCAACGAGCAGCACAAAAAAATCACACTACAATCTCTTCCCATAATGTTTAGTGAAATGTTTGATAATGATGATGATGCAAATACTGACTGTTGTCTGTAAAAGAAAGCTGTTGCGCAGCCCTAGATCAATACAAACAAGCCACATCTCCCAGAAGTCAGAATTACAACCATATACACAGTAAAACAGGCTACTTACATTTGGTCTTCTTGAAAAACTGAATTTTGCCCCGCCTCTCTTGTCTGGCTCTTTGGGGAAGAAATAGTTGATTTTCTGCTGTAAAAGCAAATGGTGAAGAGACAATTACATTTTTACCTATGGTTTTCTGAAATATTCATCTTAACTCTTTGGGTCCCAAACAGCTGTTACTTTAACCCCTTCCCTCCCCCCTCAAAATGCATGGACTCTAAAGCAATATTTTTTCAGTATAAAGAAAACGCCCATAATTTATAACCTCTTAGGAAATGACTGTAGGTCAATTCTTAATTCTCCAAAAAAAAAAGAGAGAATTAAAAAAAAAAAAGAACTTACATGTATGTGCTGTGCTACCTTAGTAATTTCAAGTGTGAACATTTATTTTGAAAACGTCCAGTCTATGTGTAATTTCCCCCAAACTCACCGTTGTATAATGGTATTCCTAAAATATGCTCTTTTACAATACGAGTTTTGTTTCAAACTAGGTCCCTTTGACTTCTATATATTGTTGCGCTGATGAAAAATACACTTAAGGATGCTAAAGTAGAGCTTGCATTTACAAGTGGTTCTAATAAGGATAGAAAGATAGGAAGAGTTTGTTGTATAATCTTAAAACAGTGTTACTTCAACATTTAGACCTTATCTAATTTCCCAAGGAAGATGAAGTGCTCGCAGTTTACATTAAGTGTTTTGATGTTGATGCTTAAAAAACACTTAGAAACTGTCTCTTCTTCTTGTGATTTATTCTACAGTCCTGTGTCCCCCAGTGGAGCCTAGGCCCTGAATCAACTCATACCAAGACCTCCTATCTTTTGCTGCCATCTGCAGCCCCCTTCGTCCATATTATTCACCTCTCTATCTACTTCTCCCTGTAATCTTTTTTTTTTATTTGTAACTAGGTCGGTTCCATTACAAATATTTTCAGGTTGTATTACTGATACAAACATACTTATCAATATGCCATCGATTGATTAGCTGAAATTGTTTAGTAAGTTAAGTTAAAAAATAGAATGCCCTGGTTACTGACCAAAGAAATATAATGAACTTAGAGCAAGGGGAAGCCCACGGCACAGAAGATGCTTATATCCCACCTTCTCTTTGGTGAGGTTTTCTGTATGCATGAAGAAAAGAAGTTTAGTTTTTCCCCCCCTAAGCTCAGCACCAGTGATTCTGTCAAAATATTTCATTTTAAATCCTACTCCTGTTAAAGTTAGTTGAGTGTCCTTTACAAAGCATCACAGAACCAGCATTTTTTATTTTTTGGCTGTTGCAGTTTTTCTAGGCACATTTTACAGTTAGTTTTTTTTTTCTGCTAGTGCCACTGAAAGGTCGGCTCTCGATAACAGTCAAAACCAACGCAAGACGGTCTACTGCTACATTGCCTGGAGCTGGGATTGTATCTGCCATTGACAAGCACATTTACAACACCTGAGCTATAGACACCTATGCAGGCACTAATTAAAGAATATTTATTTGTAGTTAATTACTCATTAATACTTGTGGTGACTGTCTAATCTAAAAAGATTAGTTAGTTAGTCGACAGAATATCCTCACTGCACATCTAACACATTCAGTCCTTAAATGCCTGAATCCCCACGTCAGTAAATCGAGCAGTGTGTAGCGGCTGATGACACCAGTTATGTGTTAGTTTCTTATTCCTCTTTGGCTTACTGTGTGGTGAATGGTGCTCTTGTCTGGCCACACCCCTTTCAACATGCTGTTCTTGCAGTCTGGTCATGGTTGCAGATTCAGTCAATAGTCATCACTTGGTTCTCACATGCATCTGAATTCTTGTAAAACATTCAGTATATCAGTCTGCGTGCCCTGGCGTGAACATTATATGAAACTAATATTTGTCAGTCCTGGTCACTAGACTCCAATCTCTTATCTTCCAGAGAATCTGTCTAAAAAAAATTATCAATATTATTTAATATATCCCTAGCATATATCACTGACATTACATGGTCGTTGAAAATGGCAATGGGCGTGTTTTCAATATTGTGAGACAGCTTCCTCTTGTGGGTTTTCCAGAGTTCAAAGGGGAGGAGGTATACCTACTGTAGGTGTACGCTGTACTGTACTATACGCTAATTTTATAATTATTTATTAGGAGATATAGAAATTATGAACTAGCCTGATTATTATCTTTTGACTGTTTATGATTTCATTGTTACAGGCAACTGTACGTTCAGTAGACTGAGTAGTTTTCCACTGCTTCTGTACGGCACAGTACAGTCAGCTCTGGATACTACTGTCGAGTCGAAAGCAACACAAGGCCAAATACATGCAGCTGGCATCGAACTTGGTACCTCTAGCATTATGCCAAAGCGCACGATTAACCCATTGACGGCCCCTAACAAACATGTCGTAAACAGTGTTTATTAAGATTTGCTGAAATCAGATGTGCTGGGCTGAAAACTAAAAGAAGCAGATATCGTAGCCTTGCTGTAAATAATAACACATGCCAACTCAACCAACCGCCCATTTTTGATCGAAAGCAGGAGAAAATAATTAATTGGCTCTCCTCCGAACGGCCTCCTAATATTATGGCGGCCATAAAATATACAAAAATATCCGTACGGGGCTCAGGCATAACTAAAATACAGACTTTCTGCCAAGGAACAAATCGTGGAAAAATTAGGATTACTTGACAATATTATTAAATATTAACATTGCACACGGTAGTAGCAGACTATAAATACCGACCTTTGACAATTTCGAGCATTTCTGCAGACGATAATAGCGACTGTTGATAATTTCGAGAGATTACAGACGATGAAAGCAATATGGCGGGCAGACTATGTGCTCCCATGCAGATTAGCAATACTGTTCTTCCAATTGAGGATTTAGCAGCGGTAGATGTCAGACCTGCCGACCTGTATCCTCACACTTTTCGGCATGCGCACAACGTGATTAAACTTACCACCGAGCGTATCCCCGCGCCGCTACGCGCAGCACGGATGGGGGGCTAAACAAGGTGCCTAGGACTCACGAGCAAATTAGTTGGACTAAGTTGCAGATGTGGTAGCTGCTGCTCGTGAGTCCCAGCCATCTAGTTTAGCCCCCATCTGGGAATACGGTCGACGGTGAGGCACAGTCACAGAAACAGGTCCGCAAGTAACATATTGCTGAGACCCTATTAGAGCATTTGTTTCGTTATACGGAGCCAGCATATTTTTAATAGAATTGAGCCCCGGACGGATATTTTTGGATATTTTATGGCCGCCATAATATTATGACGCCGTTCGGAGGAGAGCCAATTAATTTACTTATTCTTCTTTGGTTCGCCTGAAATAAGTTGTCTATATCAGCAGTTTTGTCTCTTGTATAAATTTCACTGTCTTTACGTTTACGTTCCACTGTTGTTCTTTCTGGCCAAAAGGTTTGCCTTAATAATTAATTTACGAAGACGTGTGTCTTGTCCACTGACTGCTGTGAGTGTGTGACTTGTGTCGTGGGCGAACCGAAACTTAAAACTAGTAAAAGTAAAACAAATTATTTTTAACTCAAGAGAAGAAATAAGACCACATCACAACAAAATTGATTTCATATAAAGAGTTGAACCCTACTTTTTCTTGGCCTTCATTCTTTTTCGACAGCTCCATTGCTGACTTTGTGAATTATTAGAATAACAGTTTACAACTCCTCTACTTTAGTGTAGATGTAGAAGACAAACCCAATGTTTTGGACTGTGGCTGCCACACGTGTTTCCGGTTATGAAGACGGTGTCGTGTTTTGCTCGCTAGTAGACGACTTTGTGTTTCAGTAACGTATGATAACCAAGAGTGGATAGAAATGGTTTGGCCACGTTATGAAAATGAATCCTGACTGATATATCTGCCAAAAGAGCTCTCACATGGACATCAGAGGGAAAGAGAAAACAGGGGCGCCAAAAAACAACATGGAGACGAACGATGGAAAGTGACCTGAGTGCGGCATCTTTGACATGGAAAACTGCACTGAAGATTGCACAGGATTATAGGAAAGCATGGAAAGTCCTCTCTGAAGCCTCATGTGCCACTAGGCATAACGAGAACTGAAGAAGACGACTTTGTAGCCGGTCAGAACACTACAGTATTTGGGTCTGTCTCCTTTAATCGCATCAACACTGCAGAAGTTCTTTCAGAGCTACTTGGTGGCGAGCAATATTTAGCCATTTTAAATGGCGCACATAAATAACAGATGAAAGCAGGGAAGAACATAAAAACAACTCGGAACGAACGGCAAAGGAACTAGAACCAGGTATTTTATTAGATTAAAGGCGATAGGCATTGATGTTCTACCTGATGAGGCCATCAAGGCAGCAGGAACAGCGTGAGCAACGTGGGTGAAGAGAATATTCCAGGTTGCATGGGCAAATCAAGAAACACAATCAGATCGACAGACTGCTGTCATCGTCCCGCTATGGAAAAAAAGGAAGTAAGGGGGACTGTACTAATTACAGAAGAGAATAAGAAGCAGGTGTTGTGTGTAGACACTGACTCGGAGGGAGATGTGTGCTCGACAGATCCTCATTCTAGCTTCAACTGTTGGAAAACCAAGGAGGTACCGCATTGCTCTGCATACTGCATATTTAACGCACTCAAGTATAATGCGCATGGCCTCGTTTTGTAACTTTTCGAGTCTCTGTAACCATCAGAGTCTAGTAAAAACTAAAGGACCTTTTCCACGCCCTTATGCATATTAGTCATGTAGAGCAAGACCTATATTTTGTAGACCAATCGGCGCTTGATAGGTGATGTGGTTAGCATCACGCCTGTCGCCTTTACTTCCCAGAATTGCACCTGGTACCTTCTGAAAGCTGGGTCAACCTGGGAGCTAAGGTCATTTTTGAAAAAAGTCCGACTCAGTCAGGACCCGATCCCACCACCTTACGATCCGCAGGCGAGTGTCTAGTCGCTACGCCACGGCGCATCAGTCTTGACATCTGCATTATTGCAACTATAAAAGGAAAAAAAGTTGTTTACCCCAGAGATGGCTCGCCTTTAAAACCCCGCCACAACCTGTCAGGGTGTTAAATCGACACTCACGCGTTGGCATTACGGGCGCTAACAGGGTCCGAAACTACAGCCTCTGGTAAAAGTTATTTATTACGCCTCTGTAACCTATATCTCAACCGCCGTACCTCTGCACGGCTGTGGATAGCGTTTTCAGTCAGACCACGTCATTGAGCTGATTCGCCTGAGTACATCGCTTTCTTCTTCTTCTTCTTCCTCTTCTAAACTAGATGGCTAGGACTCACGAGCAAAGCTGCAGGAGATGCGGAAGCTGCTGCTCGTGAGTCCTAGCAATCTAGCTTAGCCCCAATCCACGCCGCTCACGCGGCGTGGGGAACTCCTGGCGGTGGCGGTAGTCGCCGGAAAACTGCAAATTAAGTCGCCGGAAGTGCGCAATTGATACGTAACTGAGGCTCGTAAGGATATTTTGCGGCCGACATCTTTTGTGCCTGTTATTCGGAGGATAGCCGAGTTTTGCAATGACTTAGTCCACTGTCTGCTTAACCAGTCTGCCTCGACCAGCTGGACCATGCTAAAAGAATTACTTAGCACCCACACGAATAGTCCTTTGATTCTAGCCACATGAAAGCTTGCGTCACCGCCATCACCATGCTGCTAGTAGTCATGAAGAAGGCACCACTGGCTACTTGAACTCTTCTTCTTCTTCTTCTTCTTTCGTTCGCATGAAATAAATTGTCTATATCTGCAAAGCCGTCTCTAGTATGAATTTCACTGTCTTTTGTAATTCACTAAGCGGCCCGTAAAGTTTGACCTCCACAAGTGTCTCTTTTGGCCAAAGGTTTTGCCTGAAAGCGTTGAATCTGGGACAGTCTTGAAGGATGTGATCTGTTGTTTCGGGTGCCAGTCCACAAGTACACATGGCTGATTGGCCAATCTTAAATTTGTTGTACATGTGGGAGCGAAGTCGATTGTGCCCTGTTCTAAGGCGAAGGATAATGACTTGCTCTGGTCTGTCCATAATATGGTAATCATCTTGTGCCAGTTTCGGTGGCATTCTGATTGATTTGATCATTCTCTTCTTCTGTTGATAAGAGACTGGTATGTCAGGTTGTTCTTCAGTTGCACCTTCCTTAGCTAGTTTATCAGCTCTTTCGTTTCGGGGAACTCCACAGTGGGAAGGTATCCACTGCCATTACTAATTTACAGCGGTTGCCTAGTTCGGATAATAGTGTCCGTATGCTTGGTAATTTTCCAGACTGGAGTGACTGAAGTACTGCTTTAGCATCTGTCAGGAATACCACTGGTTGTGAAAAATACCCTGTATTTAGTAGTTTCTCTACCGCTATCTTGATGGCTTGAACTTCTGCATCATAGTTGTGACAGTGCTTTCCCGTTGGTAATTTGGCTGTATCCCTGGTATTATTAGGATACTCAATGTACACTCCTGCACCTCCGTTTCTGACTGCGCTTTCTGCTGACCCATCTGTGTAAACACGGACCCAAAGGTTCTGTGGGTATTCATCATCAAGTAGACTGAGGGTGGCTGTTTTGCGCTGCACACTGTTTTGTTCTTCCTTGTCAAATACCCCTTTCACTTCAGTCCTGATGTGTATTGGAAACTTATACTCCTCTCTCCAGGGGGTCCGTTCTGGGACAGCATTTAAGGATCTATCAGTTGCAGGTAAATCAGTGGTTTGTCTGCCGAGCCGTTTGGCCTGGTGGATAAAACTACTTCTCTTTAGTCGTCCCAAAGCTAAATTTTTGAATCTTTCATTCATAGGGTGACTGGGCATACTAAGAAACTTTTCTGCTTGTAAAAGCATCTTGGTGTCTCTGCGTTCACTCAGTGCTTGGGTCATCCCCATTTTCTCCATCACAGCTATAGGTGTTGATTTCATACTGCCTGTGGTAACTCTGAGTGCTTGATTTTGCACTTTGTCTAATTCTTGCAATGTGGTTTTTGATGCCGAACTCCATGCTGTTGATCCGTATTCAAGATGTGGTCGAACACTTTGTTGGTAAACTTTTCTAAGTATTTTCCCGCTAGCACCCCATGTGGTTCCACTTAGTTTTCTCAGAATGGCTACCCTCCTTCTGGCTTTGGTTGCTGCCTTGTTGATGTGTTTTCTCCATGTTAATCTATCATCAAACGTTACGCCGAGGTATGTGGGCTCCTTATCCTCTCTAGGGGGGTACTCCATTTATGTGCATGACACCTGATTTTTGTTTAGGAGAAAGGGTAAAGAGGGTGGTGCTGCATTTGCCTATGTTGATGCTGACACACCATTTGTCGGCCCAATCAGCCATTGCATCTATGGCTCTTTGTAGCAGTCTGGTGGCCACTGTCGCATTTTCATTTGTACACCAGAGTACCAAGTCATCAGCATACATTGCAGCTTTAATTCCATGGGGTAGTTCAGAAAGCAGGTCGTTGATATAGACTAGGAAGAGTGTGGGGGACAGGACACCTCCGTGTGGGACGCCATGGCGCAGCAAAACTTTCTTACTCTTAAGTCCATCTATCTGTACTTGAACTGTTTTGCCTGAAGAGCGAGCTGTAAATGCACATGCACTCTTGTGTCCTCGTATAACGGACCCGTCTGTAAAGATCAGCATATGTCTAATCTGACTTGTTACTAATAAGCGCGCATACCTCGGCGTTGACAGCAGCGGGATTCTGCTCCCGATAACTCCTATCAAGCTTCACGACACAGGATAATGTGAGATTGGGCGCTTTAGACGCTGCTATCCATTCCCCACATGGATAGATATATATGTATGTTTGTTTTAGTATCCAGAAGCCATGAGTTGTTAACCCTTAGGCTCGGTATTATGGATATCGCTACCTTTCGGCCTTGATTCCATTGTAAATCTGGGAGAAAATGTGGCTTTCCTGCCTACCCCCGGGATTGAACCCAGACCACAAGGAGTTCGTCACCCGGTCTCCGCGCAATCCGGTTTAGCCAGCTACGCTAGAGAGCCGGGCAGTTATATCTGTAAGGCTGCAGTCCTGCATGATGTCATCCTTTGCCCTACCCAGCCATGATTTGGCCCGTGTAAAGTCTATTGCCCTTTTTTTTCTGAATAGCATGTGGGGCAACTCTGTCAGATTAAACGCCGTGTCCCGTTTCTCGTCTCTACAGCCTCTGTCCAGTAACTCCCAGTCAAAATGTTCGCGTCTTCTTTTTTTCTGAACGCTGGTTTAACAAGTCCCTTGTGAAACATGAAGTTCTTTAATTGACCCATCCCCTGTTTAGTGAGCAGTCTCCGTGGGCTGTTGAACGCGTAGTCGCTAAGTAGTCATCTAAGTGCCAGTCCATTACAGCCGGAACCTGAAGGCTGTGAAATCTCTGCCTTTCTACCCAATACATTTGATTCCTGTACATCTCAAATTGTCCGTTTTAATTAAAGGCTTCACAGGGGCAGTGAGTCTACCACCACTCTTCGCGCCCCAGTCCACATGTAAGGGCTTCAGAACCCCAGGTTGAAATGATGGAGGGGGAAATGGTCAGTTGCTAAGACATTCCAATTCTACTCTTGGTTTGATCCTCTCTGCCATAGAATATGCACTGGTAATCCTCACAGTCAGCATGACAAAAATCGGCAGACTGGAAAAGGTAAAAAAAAAAATAAGCAATGCATCATAC